TAAAACAACATTCTTCAGTAAGTGCTGCTTGTGTGATTTTGTCTAGCAGTCCATTCTGGGCAACAGAATCTTCTATGCAAGTTTTAGTGGATCTAAAATCTGGAGCAAGGTGAACATATGTGGAGATGATCTTTATCTCAGATCTTTGTGAGATAATACAGATTTTTTAAGATTTTTAATGGAAATATCATTGACCTATAATATATTAATTTCAAATATAGAACATGGTTTGATATTTATAGATATTGCAAAATGATCACCATCACTAGTTAACATACATCATCATATGTAGTTACAAGAAATTTTCTATTGTGATGAGAACTTTTGAGATCTACTCTCTTAGAAACATTCAAATGTATATTATAGTATCATTAACTGTAATCACCATGCTGTACAGGACAACCCCATAACTTATTTATTTCATAAATGGAAATTTGACCCCTGTTACCCATTTTTCATCTATTTGGTCATCTTTTCTTCATTGACTACCTTCATTCACTCATTCATCAAAATTTATTCCAAAAGGGTGTGTTGGGCTTCTGCCATGTGGCATTCATTGCTGGTACACAGCAAACAAGACAACGCCATGTGTTTTCCCCGTCCACATGCAACATTAACATGAAGACAGAGAATAAACAAAAGAACTGGCAAGTGAAAAACCCCATTTTCTGAAGTGATTCATGCTACAAATCTAAACAAAATGTAGAGCTATAGTGAGGACAAAATGTGTGCATACAGAGTCCCAAGTCTTTTTGATAAGATTGTTGGGGGAGAGTGAGAATTGATGGAGCAGAAGGAGCCAGTCATGTGAAGATCTGTAGCCACATACGCTGAACAGGGTTTCCTTTTGACTGAAGAACAGAATGATGGTTTGAGGGCAAGAGATGCACTTCCCATTGTAATAGCCACATGGGGCTGGTCACATTTAAACTAATTAAAATAAAATATAGAACTCAGTGACACTAGTCATGTTTCAAGTGCTTAGCAACCCTATGTGACTAGTGGCCACCATATTTGACAACGCAAAGTATATTTCCATCCTTGAAGAAAGTTCCAATGGACAGTGCTGCACCCATGAAGTAGAAGAGCAGGAATAGATGAGGTCACAGAGTAGCTTAGAAAGATCAGGACAGTTCTTGTAGGTGGCCACGAGGACGTTGGGTTCTGCAAGTGCAATGGCAAGTCTTTGGATGGTTTTAAGCATGTACTTAGACTACTGGATTTACCTTTAAAACTATCACTCTATTATTGGTGCTCTAGTGGTAGGTTTGGTGTAGTAACATGTAAAAAGTTATGAGTATCATATACAGTCTTGTAAACCAACATTACCTCAACAAAAATGATTTAATATTAAAAACTAAGACTATTATTTCTGGCTGCAATGTAGAAAATAAATGGTAGAAAGGCAAGATCAGTTAGAAAGTTATTATAATTTTCCTGGGCTGGGATGATGATAGGTCTTTGGTTGGTTATTTTATGAGGGAAAAGAAGACAGATTATATTTAAGTGTATACTTTTTGAATTTAACAGAATTCCCTTAGGCACAACTGTATTTAACAAAGTGCAAATGGTAGGCCATGGGGTTCATTTCTAGATCCTCTTTACCAAAGACTAATAAAAACATATTGCTAGGTTTGCTTATTCTTTGTATAAAGTGGAGAGCTTTATAAATCAAATTTGCATCTGTATTTCCATTGTCCAGGCAGTATTTTTTTTTTCACTATTTTTCTTGCCACATTTTTCTTTTCCTATGGCTGTGTTGTCACTTTCTGAGTTAGGGCACAGTACTAACTTAGGAAGTGACTTTTTAGTTCTGTGATTGTTTAGTGTCCACTCTATGGATTGGGTCTCATTTTATTTGCTATCTCACCTCCCACCACCACTAACTGTAAGCTGTTAGTCACTTTTAGTGAGCATAATGCTGTTGCTTCTTTCTTATATGAACATTTTGTTGTTTTAGTTCTTGGTGGTCATGGGGAGGTAGGGTGGGTAGAATCTACCTTCTTTCCTTTTGGTGGCACAAATAACCTGGCTGTGATTTTTGTTGAGAATGGGGAGAAACACAGATCGGAGGACATTCCCTCTGCTCCACTATTGAATGTTTCAAGGACACCATTGTTTGACATATGGACCTAGTATTTTTGTTTTGCTGCTGTTAAAAATGTTATTCTTTCCTTATTTTCTGTTACATTTTTTAAATGTCTACTTTCCATCTCTTCTACCTCTGTTTTTATGACAATATATTATTTTTTTGAAGGAACTGAGAAAGGAGATATAGAACATTAAAATATTGAAATTGACAGTCTAAAATTCTCCTCACTATATCTTTCTTTCTAGCCTTGACATATGCCCAGATTTTTATAGTTTTTCATTCTAATATGCTATTTTTGATGCCAATGGATATTAGCATGATTTTCTAATCAAGAATTTTCATCGGAAGTGTCCCAGGGAGGCTCTGGTGTATGATTCATATGTCTAAAAAAGAAACTCAAGAAAGTAGGTGTGCATGCTAGGAGGCTCATTTGTCTTTGGCAAAGACACTGCTGCTCCAGTTTCCTTAATTATTAAACAGATGGTACCTGCTGCCATTGACTATCTGCCCAGCTTGTCCTCCATGTGGTGACACAGCTCTGGACATCGATGGAGAGAAGCTGGACCTGTCACACGCTTCACATCCATTTATGTCATCATACCAGTATCATCACCTGCTCAGCTAGGGCAGGCTATTTCCCATGGACCAAAGGGTAAGGCTTAAGCCATCTTGTCCCCTGTGCCGGTGAACTAGTTTGAGCTCGAGTCTCCTTATGTCTTTTCTCTATATCGCTTCATCTCCACACGCAAAATGCAGTGACATACTGAACCAATTATCCAAATACTCTAGGCTATAAACACACTTTAACGTGGAATGTCAAGATAATTAAGACAGAATTGGATTATTAGTGTTATTAGTGTGGGTACATGGTGGGTTAGGTGACTTAAAAATGAACCAGAATGGACTATCAGATTCTTGTTTTAAGTGTAAAACAGAAACAGCTCCCAGGGAATGTGCACGGAGATTTTTTTTTTTAAGCCCATTGAACAGATACTGAATGACATTTCACAAGCAGCCAAAACAGCTAGCTTGACATTTTTCCTCTAGTTTTTCGGACATCACATTACTCATGCACATGGAATGTATACCCTGAGAATATTTCGAAGTAGGGTCTTGTATGTTTTTCTCAGAAGCTTTCATGGGGGCATAGTGCCACATACCCCCAGGCATTATTCTAAGGCCTTTCCTGGTGATAACCCACCTGACCTAACACAGCCTGGGGATTTCTTTCTGTGACTTTTTTGATGGACTATTCGGTCTTCTTTACTTGGTGAACCTGTTACAGACCACAGTCATTAATGTCAATGTCATTTCCATTTCCACCCTCAACAATTGTTGAGTAATACTCATACACTGGGTACGCTTAGTTAACATGGGTTGCTAGAGTGCCACCCTGGATCCTTCTGACAAAGCCCTTAGGATGTAGGTAACTTGAGATATTCCATCATTTGGACCAACAGGAAAGGCTGGTGGAAAACAGAGCTTCTAGCAGGAGCAAGCCAAAGCATGAGGATGCCAGGTGAAGTTGGCAGCTAATGTAACGGACTTGAGAGCCTACAGCATCTGGGACCTGTAGGTTTAAAAAAAACAGTAGCAAGCACGTTGGTTCCCCTGGTCTGCCAACTAGCCAAGCACCGTCTTCTTCCAGGGGCCTAGGGTGTTCTACCCTGACGGTGGGCCACAGTCCCTGGCACCCCCGCTGTGGCGAGCTGGGCTGCAGACCGGACTCAGGAGCCTTTCTCTCCTGCGCTTGGGCTGCGCGACTCTGCGGGCGGAAGGAGCGCTGGAGCAGAGAGCAGCGCCGCCTCCGGGGGAGTGGACGCGAGCTCGGCCGGGCAGGCTTTTCTAGGGAGTTGCCTTAAAGCAAGCAAGCAAGGGGAATTGTCGATCACTCCAGTGACCTGCTTTTAAATATCGTTTTAAGCCGTTGTCTCCACTCCCTTCCCTCTTGCAAAATTGCACACCACCACCAATCTTACACCAAAAAGAAGGGGGCAAAAAAGATCAAGTCTCATTCTCCCTTCTCACCCTCCCTTTCCCCTCACCCTCCCTTCCAGCTCGCTCCCTCTCCCTCCCTCCCTTCTCTGGCGGCAACCACTCGTCTCTCGGACTGTGTCTCTCTCCGACGGGACTTAGCAACTTCTTGGTTCTCAGTCCCGTTTCCATTTTTTCCAACCTTTGCCATGAACTGGACCGACAGACGCTGGGGAGGCTTTGCTTTCGGCCCCAGGGAATGGCGGTTCGCATCCAGGCGCCGTGCCGGGGAGAATCCGCCGCGGAGAAAGAAAGAGTGATAGAGAAAGCGCTGCGGGAAGGAAGAGAAGGGGGACCTCCCTCCGCCGCGGGCCCCGCGCGCGCCAGCGCTGCGCCGCCTGCGCCGGGGATGGCCCGGAGCTCGCCCTGCGCTCTCGGCTCCTCCGCGTCTGCAGCCCCCGTGCGTCGGACACATCGGGCGATCTCTAAAATCCCGAAGTAGGAAGAGACCCCGGAGGATAAAAATTGGGGGTGGGGTAGAGCAGAGAATCTTGTAAAGCTCTTCCAAGAGAGGAAAGAGAAGGCTGATCGTTTCTGCCTGTGCTAGCTCTTAGCTGGAAGGCGTCTCTCTGGAGCATCTAGTGTTCCCCAGGAGTTATTCGAAAGCTGAAACTTTCTGTGTTTCGTGGGCCCGTGGAGAAAAAGGAGGGATTCCGGGGGGCGGGGGCGGGGGGGGGTTGGGAGACAGCTTGTGTGTGCGCATGTGGGGGCGTCGGGACGGCCTGGGTGTTCGGTGAAGCGGGCACACCATGGCAGTGCCCCGCGCGGCCGCCCCAGGGGCGCACGAGCCGGGCCCGGGTGGACTGAGCCAAGCCCCCGCGGCGAGTCTGGACGGTGCGGGTAGCGCGGGCCCCGAGTGCCTGCGGGTCTCTGGCCGCCGCGGCTGCTGGGGAGACCTGGTGCTGCAGCCGCTCCGGCGCTCCCGGAAACTTTCCTCGGCGCTGTGCGCGGGCTCGCTGTCCTTTCTGCTGGCGCTGCTGGCGAGGCTGGTCCGCGGGGAGATCGGCTGTGAGCTGGAGCAGACTAAGGCGCCCGCGGAGGAGGAGGAGGAAGCGGCCCCGGGAGCAGAAGGGGGCGTCTTCCCGGGGCCTCGGGGAGGTGCTCCCGGGGCGGCGCGCCGCTCGGCCCCTGGCTGCAGCCCTGGGCGCTGCTCTTCAGTCTCCTGTGTGCCTTCTTCTGGATGGGCTTGTACCTCCTGCGCGCCGGGGTGCGCCTGCCTCTGGCCGTCGCGCTGCTGGCCGCCTGCTGCGGGGGGGAAGCGCTCGTCCAGATTGGGCTGGGCGTCGGGGAGGATCACTTACTCTCGCTCCCCGCCGCGGGGGTGGTGCTCAGCTGCTTGGCCGCCGCGACATGGCTGGTGCTGAGGCTGAGGCTGGGCGTCCTCATGATCGCCTTGACTAGCGCGGTCAGGACCGTGTCCCTTATTTCCTTAGAGAGGTTCAAGGTCGCCTGGAGACCGTACCTGGCGTACTTGGCCGGCGTGCTGGGGATCCTCCTGGCCAGGTACGCGGAGCAAATCTTGCCGCAGTCCGCGAGGGCGGCTCCGAGGGAGCATTTTGGGTCCCAGCTGATTGCTGGGACCAAGGAAGATACCCCGGTGTTTAAGCGGAGGAGGCGGTCCAGCTCCGTGGTGTCCGCCGAGATGTCCGGCTGCAGCAGCAAGTCCCATCGGAGGACCTCCCTGCCCTGCATACCGAGGGAGCAGGTAAGCACCGGCTGCTCCTCTGACTCTCGGGACAACTCGAAACACTTGGGGATAGGCGCAAAAGTGGAGGGAGTCCAAGCGCTGGGCACATAGACTAGAGAAGTGGTTGAAGTTCAGACTTACTCGGAAACTAGCGAGTTTTTCTCTCCCTCCCTCACCCAGTGTGTTATAACCTGAGCAACAAACACGAATAAATAACAAAGCCAGATGGCATGTTGGAGGGTCTTCCGCAGCTGAGCCCCGTTGTTTAGAACTGCTTACACCTGGCGGATGGCTTCCCTGCAATTTTAAGTGTTCTCACGCTTTCCTCCCCTAGCAGGAATGCCTAATTAGTTTAGTTTTTTAGTAGAAGTCCAATGTGCTATCCATTGCACTAGGTTTGTTTCTATGAAATGTCATTTAAATGGACAGCTGAACGTTTAAGAAACTCAGTAGAAAGGTTTTAGAGTCAAGGTTGAAAGTGAGGTATTGTACACACTTTCTGCTTTTGCAGATAAGTTTTACTTGAAGAACCGCGTTTGTTTTTGAGGTTATTGGGGGCACACGGCCTTACATGCTAAATGTGTTTTGTATTATAAATCTTAAACTTCGCTTTGGAGAACTGTGTGTCTGAGAACATTGTCTGACTGTGTCGGAATCATGAGGTGTCAACTAAAAGTAAGTTTTCTTGCATATGCATGCCTAAGTGACTTAGAAATTCAAATGAATTTATCCATATTATACAGGAAGTATTAATCTGGGAGACTATTATTAAGATTACTAGTGTTTGAAATCTTTCAGAGAGAAAGGAATCAAGAATTATGAGTTCTTATGAAGTTGGTCTACATAAAAGTTTAGTGAATTTGGGGATGAATCTCCTCATTATCATTAAGCATTTTAAGAGTGTGGAATATTGTTCCTATAAAGGGCATCAGAGAACAAATCCCAAATTAAAGTAGGAATTTGTATCTGAAAAGACCTGCGTAAGCCTTTAGCTCTTACTCCAAGCAGTTCTGACACTTGGGGGTAGGGTGGGGTGGGGAGCTGCTTATGTACAGCAAGTGGAAATTTACACTTTTCCCATTTAAGTTTCTGCCTGCTTGTGGTACTATTAGGACAACATTAGAGAGTGAGAGGGTATCCAAAGGTATTTTTTAGGTTATTCTGTGGGTAATCATTTAGGTATTTCTAAGAAATAGGAGTCACCATATGCTGTGGGCGGCTACTTTCTTTTAGTAATGGAGTTGATTACACAGAATGTGATTGTTTGACATTATTTAGCAGAATGGATGACAGCATCATTGCCACTGTTTATTTTAAAACAAATATATTTATTTAGCTGTTCATTGAGATAAAGCAAACATTTCTTGGGTTTGAGCTTACTCTAATAGTGTAGTTAAAAACAGGCCACTGACTGATTTCCAGATATCTACCAAACTATCTATTTAAGGGTAAACCAATTAGGGAGAGACATTTTTAAATTTCTTTTCACAGTTATAGGAGACATTGTCTTTTACCAGAATATACTACTAGTCTAAATATGTTTAGTACACACTTTATAGGAGAATAATGTGATCATTGTAAAACTGAATCATAATTTCTAAAGACAATCTGTGATCTAATCATTAATGGCTTGATTTCAAATTAATATCATTTAGCTTCTGAAATTCCATAGCAACACTTAAAAGTTAAGGAGTTAAAGGTGGATTTAAGATAAGGTGCCTAGTTAAACTATCCAGTAGTGTTAATTAAGCCTTAGATTTTTATTGATTTTCTCTGGTTTAAATTGTTTATTGGCAAACCTAACCTAACATTTTATTTTTAAATATTTTGCTGATCAGTGCTGTTGAAAATACATGTTTGTAACATCTTTTGTTCATTTTCTTGGGTTACTATTTTTTTAAGGTAATGTTTGTAAAGAATAGTCTAAAGTAAGAGATTGTCATAGGGTAGATGGAAAAACAAGGTTACCTTTAGCAGAAGTTTAGATCCTTGAAGTTTTAATGAGAACATGGGTGAATGTGTACGTGTTCCCAAAGACTGGTTTTTATATATGACCCATTGAAAGTTGTTCTGAACATAAATGTGGGGGTGGGTGGGAACTAACATGCAAGAGTATTTATAACATAGAGCAATAGCTCATACGTTAGCCTAACTGTGTGAAAAGTTCAGGAGCTATGTAGTAAATGACTTATCTGTTTTATCACAAGGAAACAAACTTCTGATTAAGGGTGCAAAGTATACCACTGTCATCTGAATACTTTATGAAGTCAAGACTCAAAATAATTATAAGGCATGCATATAACATTCTCCTTCCTGCTGAGTGCTTCTTTGATATAAGAATGTCCTCTCTCAAGACAGTACTCAGACCACATGCCAATTTTAAATTAAAGCAAAAGGACATAAAGCCACAGAGTCTGGCAGACACCTCTTGAGAATTTATTTGGACTTTGCTCCTTGTCAGGTTTAAAGGTAAGAGGGTTGCAGCCTCTCCTTCCTGTATGAGTGACAGTGGCCACTTAGGAACTCTTTCTCTGCAATCACTCAATTCTATCAGGTCAAGGAGAGTAGGTGGCAAAATTCTTCTAAAACAAACCAAATGGTAGGTAGATTACCCACCCACCCACTCTTCCTCCCTCTCTTCCCTCTCTTCCTTCCTTTAAGAACTGCAGTTGGGTCTATAAATTAAATAGTCCACAGGTTCTGAGCTTTGCAGAGCAGATGATAAAGGAGACTTCAAGCGGAGGAGATCAGGTGTAGTGTTTTCAGGCACAGTACTTGTAAGACCCTGGGCATGTATGGGAAAACAAAGAAACGTTTTTCCTCTCTGTCCACCACCAACTTTGTAGCATTTGTGTGGCTTTCAGTTTAATCCTCCCAGCCCAGAAGATTCTGTGGATTGGTATGTGTCATACTGTACTTTTTTGGTGTAAAGAAGGCAGACGTTTCCACTAAGGTCTATGTGTCTTGTTTAAGTGGTCGTTTCCATCTGAAAGCAGATTTGTCTCTCTCAAGTTACCACTCTCTATATCAAGGTAGTTAGCATTTCTTGAATTGCTAGATAGTCTGTGTGATTAATGCATGCTATTTTTCAACATAAAGTTTTAATTATGACTTTTTTTTAACCATCTGGGGATTGTATTTGAAGGGCTGTCTCTCTATTTCTTTATACATCAAAGGACATAACTGTCTTGTCCTCTGATTACTATGTCCCCCTTACACTTCATTTTTGAAAGATGCCTAACTAGTGTCATTTTATTTTAGTTACATGTTAAGAATAATGAAAAAGTTTGCCTGTGATTTTGCATAATATAACACAAGGCACATGTCTCTCTCCGTTTATGTGTTTGGACCACTTAATACATATTTTTTTGTGAAAGAAACAATATCAATCAGAAGCATACAACTATAGTCTTCATATTGTTTAACTGAAAATCAAAATCGTTTCCCATTAGTATTTCCCAAAACTCTTAGTTAAGCATTGTTAGCAAAAATAAATTTTTATAGGATTATAATGGAGCCTGATGGTTGGTTTTCAAAAGTAGAATCAAGTTTGTCATCACTGATAGAAGAAAAATATTTTCAAATTACAAAGTAAACTAACAATGACAAACTATAGAAGTAGGTGTGGTTTTCCTTGGTAGGCATATGGTAGGCCTTGATCCATCTTGAGTAGAAAGTCTAAGTTATTTGCATTTCTAGTACAAATATAAAATACAGAAGTAGTTCTTCTGAAAATACAGAATATATTGCCCTTCAAGTGCCTAAAAATAATTCAGTCTAACATATTTCTCAAGTTGAATAAATTTCAGCAACGGTCATGGGTTTTTAATGAAATTGTCACTTCTGTCACATTTCAGTAGTTTGCCTCAGCTGATGGCGATACAAAGAGCAATATTGATTATTTATGACTTGGTGACAGAATTAAAATTAATTACTGTCAGCTTCTGAAAACACTAAAAAGGAAAAACACGATTTTCTTATCCCTTGGGAAAGGTGAGGGAAAAGAATTTTTTTGTGTGTGGGACAAAATTGGGATTTTACTTGATGAATACAGATATTTAAAGCATACTAAAAAAAAATGTTTTAACTGACAGAAATAGTCAGTGAATCTATATAAATTTACAGAGGTTGGAAGGAGTCAAACAGTAATTTTACTCTTTCTGTATTGAGTCAAAAGTGTAAAAAGTAAAAACTGTAGAACTGAAAGAAATGCTGTGTATGCCAGGCTGTCATGTTAATTAAATAAACAACCAGAACAGTGAGTCTGTGTATGAAATACATTTTGAAAAGCCTGGGGGAGGGGGTGCAGGCAGGCAAGGGTGAGTGACACTGGCATGCAAAAACATTCATTATATCTGCAGTGACATTTGTGTGAATCGGTTGTATTCCCTTAGGAAATACAGCTCCGACAATAATCTTTTCAAGATTCTCGTTGAATAAAGGCGTTAGTGAATTTAATTTCACTTTTACATGAGCTAAATTCTCATTTGTCATGTTGGAGTAGCATGTTTGTGAGCCTTAAAACTATAAATAGGCCTATATATTATATTTTAAGATTGTCATTTGATATGGTCTATGCAGACGCCATTGAAAACCTGCGTTCTTTAGTCTATGGAGAGAATGAGCTTACTTGGGACTAGCCTGGAAGTTGTATTTTTCAGAACATATTGTTATTTGACATGTAGGATCATGGATGGAGATAGGTCATCAATGCAGCTATGTGGTATCCAAAGAGATTTAGACAAGCTGATCTACACTCTTGTGTTGGGCAATTTTATTTAGCTCTGTGAAATTATGAAGGACCCTGCATTTTAATGGAGAATCGTTTACTTAGCTATGTGTATCCTAGTTCATGTAGTCTTCCTCCACCCTCTTCTGTTCTGTGTGATATTTATAATTGCATCTTCTAAAAATATCCTCCAGTATATTACACTGAAAACGCAGTTATTTCCAACTTTCATGCTTTCAGTAAAACTCAGAATTCCAATCAGAATGCGCCTTAGAAGTTTCAGAAATTT